CTCTCTCTCTCTTTCTCCCTCTCTTGTTCACACCCCTGTTTGATACGCAGTCGCTGCTAATTCTAAGGCCTGCACTCATTCTATTTTCATCCTGCACAGCTGCAGTTTACTGACAGAATCAGCACAGGGGTGGTTGGAGAGAACGAGAGAAAAGAGGGAGAAAGGGGCTGTTTGGTGGGATATGGAAGTGAGTGAGGGTGGGTGGAGGGGAAAGAGGGAGGGATGGAAGCAGCCCAGACAGCTGAGGCGGAATACGAGGGGGGAATGAGGGAGGAAAGGAAGGAGAGATAGAGGGGTGGTTGGATGTTTGATGGGCTGCAGGTGATTTAGCAGCTCTTTAAAGGACTTCATGGGCTGGTGTGTATCAGAGCCTGTTGATGATACACATTGATTGAGATTTTCTAAATATTTAGCAATTATGGAACTCAAAATAGTTTGAAATAAGGAGGATGAATTGTACTACTACTACTAGTAGTATGACTACTACTACTACTACTACTACTACTACTGATAGCATTACTACGATATGGGATCAATCAATGTGTCTTCTCTTACTGGAAGTTTAGAGGTATCAACCATTCATCGTACATTTGTGTGTGTGTGTGTGTGTGTGTGTGACACTGTTTCCCTGATCTGCCTGAGAAAAGTGGTCTGTGGTCTAACTGTAGCTAAGTGAATGAGAGGAGGGGGCTAGCTAGAGAGAAGACAGAGGGACATAACATATTGAGTGTGACACTCACTGTGTGTTTTCAGATATCACTGTACTCTCTCTCACTCTCTCCATTAGATACAAGTTAGGTCCATCTGTATAGGGTCGTTCTAAATGAATTCAATCAATTTATGACCTTACCCTTTTTGATTTGAACAAAACTTTCCATACATTTTTGCCCATGGCAAAAGTGGTCAGAAAGTGACTTTTTGGACATGAATGCCAAAAGATTTAGGAGAAAGAGATGCTCAAAGTTGACCCATTTTGCAAACCCCACCCTACCATGAGACAGCCATGTTTTTATCACTGAAAAACATAAACGGTTGAGTTCGTTATCATTTGAAAGCTTACAAACAGGGTTGTGAAACTAATTTAGAATTTCTTGAAAAAATGTTCTAAAAACATTTTCTTTCTCACATACACTACATAACCAAAAGTATGTGGACACGTGCTCGTCAAACATCTCATTCCAAAATCATATTAATACGGAGTTGGTGCGGGGACAGCCACAAGAGCATTAGTGAGTTTGGGCACTGATGTTGGGCAATTAGGCCTGGCTCGTAGTCGGAGTTCCAATTTATCCCAAAGGTATTTGATGGATTTGAGGTCAGGGCTCTGTGCAAGCCAGTCAAGTTCTTCCACACCGATCTTGACAAACCATTTCTGTATGGACCTTGCTTTGTGCGCGGGGGCATTGTCATGCTGAAACAGGAAAGGGACTTCCCCAAACTGTTGCCACAAAGTTGGAAGCACAGAATCGTCTAGAATGTCATTGTATGCTGTAGCGTTAAGATTTCCCTTCACTGGAAGTAAGGGGCCTAGCCCAAACCATGAAATACAGCCCCAGACCAAAGTTTCCTTTTGTATAACTTGTAGAAAATGCACTTTATGACACTGTCATGAAGCATTATGACCATTCTGTGTCACTTTACTTGGACTAAGAAAATACACTTTATGACACTGTCAAGAAGCATTATGACCACTTTCATGCCCTATTGTCAGTTATCAGTTAAAAAGAGGGTGTCTTGTCCTTCTCCTGCATTAAGTCTGCTCCTGCATTAATCAAAGTAATCAGCAACAGAGCATTGGGGTAGGTGCATGTCTGACATCAATGTGTGCGCAATTACAATGATAATTTAATATGGTACATTTAAAAAAGAAAATCTATAATATAAACATACTGTTGACACGTAGGCTATGGTGTAATGGAATGTTTTGCCTTGTGTGGTACGCTTTGTGGATTTTGACACTATAATGTAGGTGCCATAACCAGCTATAACATGACTAATGTGGTAGGTTTTGTGAGTTTTTATACACTCTTATGTACAGTAGGTGTCATAACCAACCATAAAATAATGCAATATATATCACAACAGGTCTATAAAAGACAAAGCCCCGGGGCCTATGATTTCTTCATCTGGCCCTGGGAATAGGGTGCTATTTAGGACGCAACCCTTGTCTCCTCTCTCTCATTCAGTGTCTGTCAAAGACTCTTCCTGTGACCCCTCTGTATCATTCTCCTCATGTGTTGGTTTGCGTGTCAAACTCATGCTGCGTTACAGCTTTAAACTCTTCTGCCATAGTGGTGTATTTCTGGTGCTTTTCCCTGGTGTTGCATTGACCACCAATCGATTGCATTTTCTCCTCTTTTTAAATGATCAATAACATACAAAGATTTTACAGTAGCTAATGTAATCAGGTTAACAGCACTCAGACAGGTTGCTTCCCAAATGGCACCCTATTCCTTATGTAGTGCACACATTTTGACACAGCCCTATGAGCCCTGGTCAAAAGTACAGTAGTGCAGTATGTAGGGAATAGGATGCCGTTTGGGACATAGTGGGGGGGCATTCGTGCTTGTATATATGTATGTATGCTAAATAACTAAAATGTAAACGTGTGTCCTTGCGTGCACCTATTGGCCTTTGTTTATAAATGCCCCCCTTTTCTGGAGAATAAAGGAAGTTGTAGTTCACACACCGGATACGCACACATATACAGTGGGGAGAACAAGTATTTGATACACTGCCGATTTTGCAGGTTTTCCTACTTACAAAGCATGTAGAGGTCTGTAATTTTTATCATAGGTACACTTCAACTATGAGAGACGGAATCTAAAACAAAAATCCAGAAAATCACATTGTATGATTTTTAAGTAATTAATTTGCATTTTATTGCATGCCATAAGTATTTGATACATCAGAAAAGCAGAACTTAATATTTGGTACAGAAACCTTTGTTTGCAATTACAGAGATCATACGTTTCCTGTAGGTCTTGACCAGGTTTGCACACACTGCAGCCGGGATTTTGGCCCACTCCTCCATACAGACCTTCTCCAGATCCTTCAGGTTTTGGGGCTGTCGCTGGGCAATACGGACTTTCAGCTTCCTCCAAAGATGTTCTATTGGGTTCAGGTCTGGAGACTGGCTAGGCCACTCCAGGACCTTGAGATGCTTCTTACGGAGCCACTCCTTAGTTGCCCTGGCTGTGTGTTTCGGGTCATTGTCATGCTGGAAGACCCAGCCACGACCCATCTTCAATGCTCTTACTGAGGGAAGGAGGTTGTTGGCCAAGATCTCGCGATACATGGCCCCATCAATCCTCCCCTCAATACAGTGCAGTCGTCCTGTCCCCTTTGCAGAAAAGCATCCCCAAAGAATGATGTTTCCACCACTATGCTTCACGGTTGGGATGGTGTTCTTGGGGTTGTACTCATCCTTCTTCTTCCTCCAAACACGGCGAGTGGAGTTTAGATCAAAAAGCTCTATTTTTGTCTCATCAGACCACATGACCTTCTCACATTCCTCCTCTGGATCATCCAGATGGTCATTGGCAAACTTCAGATGGGCCTGGACATGCGCTGGCTTGAGCAGGGGGACCTTGCGTGCGCTGCAGGATTTTAATCCATGACGGCGTAGTGTGTTACTAATGGTTTTCTTTGAGACTGTGGTCCCAGCTCTCTTCAGGTCATTGACCAGGTCCTGCCGTGTAGTTCTGGGCTGATCCCTCACCTTTCTCACGATCATTGATGCCCCACGAGGTGAGATCTTGCATGGAGCCCCAGACCGAGGGTGATTGACCGTCATCTTGAACTTCTTCCATTTTCTAATAATTGCGCCAACAGGTGTTGACTTCTCACCAAGCTGCTTGCCTTTTGTCCTGTAGCCCATCCCAGCCTTGTGCAGGTCTACAATTGTATCCCTGATGTCCTTACACAGCTCTCTGGTCTTGGCCATTGTGGAGAGGTTGGAGTCTGTTTGATTGAGTGTGTGGACAGGTGTCTTTTATACAGGTAACGAGTTCAAACAGGTGCAGTTAATACAGGTAATGAGTGGAGAACAGGAGGGCTTCTTAAAGAAAAACTAACAGGTCTGTGAGAGCCGGAATTCTTACTGGTTGGTAGGTGATCAAATACTTATGTCATGCAATAAAATGCAAATTAATTACTTAAAAATCATACAATGTGATTTTCTGGATTTTTGTTTAAGATTCCGTCTCTCACAGTTGAAGTGTACCTATGATAAAAATTACAGACATCTACATGCTTTGTAAGTAGGAAAACCTGCAAAATCGGCAGTGTATCAAATACTTGTTCTCCCCACTGTAGGTTGTGTGTGTGTGGTTGCATGCATGTTCGTGAAAAGAGAGTGAGAGGGTGTGGCATTGATTACAACCATGGAGACAAAGGGAGATATAACCCGAGAGTGTGTCATAGTGGCAGTTAGTAAGAATTCAGTTGTGTGGCGTAGCAGGGAGATGTGGTCACTTTAGTCAAGACCAATGTGTACGCAGTATCAGTATTATCAAGCAGTACTTCCCCTACTAAATTTGCCCTGTAATGTTACTATGGCTACTGTATCTAATAATAATAATAATAATAATACTGATGCTATAATGAATGCCATTTATCAGATGTTTTTATACAAAGTGACTTACCGTAGTGCGTGCATACAGTACATTTTCCATATGGACGGCCCCAGCGGGAATCCATCCCGAAAATGTGGTGAGAGTACGAACAGAGAGAGAGAGGTCTACAGAGAGAAACAGAAAGAGAGAGAGGTTTGGTGGTTGGACTTTTTGTTGTCAGTTTCCCCTGCTGCACCGCCTCTGTCACTGTGTTACATCAACCCTCTACTTCCTCCTTGGGACACCACGCGCTCCGACAGGTCTCACACACCATTCAATGGACCTTCTGCTTCTGCCTGCTGGAACACAAGTCCTCTCTGTGTCCCCGTGTCAGTGTGCGTGTCATCGGTATCCATGAGCAGTAGTCTCCTGTTTTGAATCAGGATGAGCTTCAGGAGTAAGATCACCTTCCGAAGGAAGAACAGGGATAAGAGCAGGCGTGTGCGGAACGATTTAAACCGCCTGAGCGTTGTATGTATACCCTCTCTCTTTATCTATCTCTCGCTTTAGTGCAGTGCCGTATCTGGGTGTTTTTTTTATTGCTCTGGGCTTCCCGTTCCTCTCTTGCACCTGTCGATCTGGGGTGAAGTTCCCCTTAGGTACAGATCTAGGATCAGCTTCCCCTTCCCCAGTCCTATCCTTAATCGTTAGTGGATGAAAGGCAAAACTGACCCAATATCAGTCTCTAGGGGCAACTTCACTCTACACTGCACCTGTCCATCAACATGAGGCCAACCGACATGGCACAGGTTGGAGTTGGACATTGCTAGCCTTTGCCTAATACTAGTTAGCCAATGACTCTCTGTTTGACTATCTGATTGGTGTGTTGATATCTGTAACTGACAGAGACTCAAACAGTATTTCTCCCTATGTGTATCAGAGTTTTTAACCAGTGGAGTGGCCATGTACAATCAGATATGTGATCTATATGTTCACAACATTTCAACTGGAGATATGAGGTTGTCAGCAGGGGACTTTAATACTTCAATATGTAGGTCCAATTGTACAAATGCTCTGCAACATCCTAACTATATTGGTGTGATGTTGTCTGGTGGAATATAGGCACCAAACGTGTAGGTGTCATGTACAGTACCAGTCAAAAGTTTGGACACACCTTCTCATTCCAGGTTTTATTTTTATTTTACTATTTTCTACAATGTAGAATAATAGTGAAGACATCAAAACTATGAAATAACACATATGGAATCATGTAGTAACCAAAAAAGTGTTAAACAAATCAAAATATATTTTATATTTGAGATTCTTAAAATAGCCACCCTTTGCCTTGATGACAGCTTTGCACACTCTTGGCATTCTCTCAACCAGCTTCACCTGGAATGCTTTTCCAACAGTCTTGAAGGAATTCCCACATATGCTGAGCACTTGTTGGCAGCTTTTTCTTCACTCTGTGGTCCGACTCATCCCAAACCATCTCAATTGGGTTGAGGTCGGAGGATTGTTGAGGTCAGGTCATCTGATGCAGCACTCCATCATTCTCCTTCTTGGTAAAATAGCCCTTACACAGCCTGGAGGTGTGTTGGGTCATTGTCCTGTTGAAAAACGAATGATAGTCCCACTAAGCCCAAACCAGATGGGTTGGCGTATCGCTGCAGAATGCTGTGGTAGCCATGCTGGTTAAGTGTGCCTTGAATTCTAAAAAGATCACAGACAGTGTCACCAGCAAAGCACCCCCACACCATAACACCTCCTCCTCCATGCTTTACGGTGGTTAGTACACATGCAGAGATCATCCGTTCACCCACACCGCGTCTCACAAAGACACGGCTGTTGGAACCAAAAATCGCAAATTTGGACTACGTCAGACAAATCTCCAATTTGGACTCCAGACCAAAATACAAATTTCCACTGATCTAATGTCCATTGCTCGTGTTTCTTGGCCCAAGCAAGTCTCTTCTTATTATTGGTGTCCTTTAGTAGTGGTTCCTTTGCAGCAATTCGACCATGAAGGCCTGATTCACACAGTCTCCTCTGAACAGTTGATGTTGAGATGTGTCTGTTACTTGAACTATTTGGGCTACAATTTCTGAGGCTGGTAACTCTCTAATGAACTTATCCTCTGCAGCAGAGGTAACTCTGGGTCTTCCATTCCTGTGGCGGTCCTCATGAGAGCCAGTTTCATCATAGTGCTTGATGGTTTTTATGACTGCACTTGAAGAAACATTCAAAGTTCTAAAAATGTTCTGCATTGACTGACCTTCATGTCTTATAGTAATGATGGACTGTTGTTTCTCTTTGCTTATTTGAGCTGTTCTTGCCATGATATGGGCTATCTTCTGTATACCCCCCCCCCCACACCTTGTCACAACACAACGCATTAAGAAGGAAATAAATTCCACAAATTAACTTTTAAAAAGGCACACCTGTTAATAGAAATGCATTCCAGGTGACTACCTCATGAAGCTGGTTGAGAGAATGCCAAGAGTGTGCAAAGCTGTCATCAAGGCAAAGGGTGGCTATTTGAAGAATCTCAAATATAAAATGTATTTTGATTTGTTTAACACTTTGTTGGTTACTACATGATTCCATATGTGTTATTTCATGGTTTTGATGTCTTCACTATTATCCTACAATGTAGAAAATAGTAAAGATAAAGAACAACCCTTGAATGAGTAGGTGTGTCCAAACGTTTGACTGGTGGTGTAGCTGTGTTACTGAACCCATAGTACTTCAGGTGTCAGAGAAGGTGACGCTAAGCCTCTGGTCAGGTCAAGGGTCAAAACTGAATAGACTAAACCCACAGCGTTGCTCAGTAGGGTGATCAAGTGATTTGGCAACAGTGTGAATGAATGCTGAATGTAAAAAACTATTACTAATACTATCATTCATGTGTTTCTCTGCCCCTCCCCCGGTCCGTCTGTATGGTAAGATCCCTACTGACTGGAACCACAAAAATAAATTTGTTTTATGTTCATTTGGAAATCTCGGCCGTAGACCACCTTCAGGCATATGACATTAAATATATATTTTTGTTGGTTTTATTTATTGTATTGAGATAGGACATTGAAGAGGGCTAGAGGAGACAGGAAAGGTAGGAGAGATTGCGAGGCAGATTCGAACCCCATGCCGACTGGTAGCTTTGGCTAAACGTGTGTGCCAGGGCGGGTACGCAGCACTAACCGCTGGACCACTGTCTACAGGGCACTCAGGCAAATATTGTCTTGGTAGACATTTCTGTGAGGTTGACAAATGAAACTGTCCTCAGTAGTCATTCTCTCTTACAGTCGGGTACAGTTCATACAAACAAATGGTTTAGTTTTTTACAGTGGAATCACAACAAGATCCTTCCTCACAACAAGGAGTGTTATGATTCTGGGTCTTTCAGTCTTTCATTTTTTGTAACATTCTTTGTCATGTTTTTATGTCTCACTGACTGCTTGGTTTCTACCTCTTTCCCTTGTGTGTGAGGGGTGTATTCTGTCAGAGTTGTATTCACTAGGAACCAAACAGGCTGAAATGGGAAGGGACCTAGCTGAACTTGTCCAATAAGAAACCCTTTTTCCTTTTCAAAACATTTTGCTACAGTGTGCAATAATGAATACACCCCTGGTCTAACTGAACAGGGGCTTGTGGTCGGAACTCAGGAGAAAACCCCCCGCAATGGCCGTGTGAACAGAGAACACAGGTCATCAGTTTTCCACTTCTCCGACCACAGTTTGTGTTAGTGGTGATGAAGAAGACATACTGCTTTCCTTTGAGGACCGAAATAGCCTCGTCTCATCATGTGCAGTCCGTTTCGCTTTCTGTGAAACGCTCTGTCTAGATGGGTTTGTCGAGACCATGTGCTGTGCAGATGTGTAGCCTACCCCTTAACCTAAAACGTATTGTAAACTTCTGCCTTTGTGATATATCAGTCTACGGTCATTTCAGAACTCGAATCTCTGATGTAATCCTTTGCACCAGAATCTAAAAATAATAGGAGGTGACATTCAGCCTATCATTAAATATGTTTTCTGAGCTGTTATGATCACTGCTAATGCGATATACTCTCCATCTGTCAGTAAAACAGTTCGACATGTTTTTGGTTCGGTTTGGTTTGGCACATGACATTACCACTTCATCCTGTATTTTACTTCTCTCTTTCCCGCCCCTCTAGACTGGGGCCGCGTCCCAACTGGCACTCTATTCCCTATGTAGTGCACTAGTTTTGGCCAGGGTCCAGAGGGAATGGGGTGCCATTTGGGACGTAGCCTTGATGTTTATGTAGCTGATCCAATGGTGACAGAGTAAACACAGGAAGTGAGGTGGTAGCTAGTTTTTCATGCCTTGCAAAAAAAATGATTTATGCCCATCCAGTGAAAGATAAACATATATTCTGAGGTTTAGACTATTTGCTTAGCCACACCATTTGGCTGGCTGACTGCTGAGTGTTGTTGGGTATCAGTGCAGTTCAGAGTGGTTTATAAGTCATGATTATTGAACAGTATAGAGGCTAATTGTACTTGGTGATTGCATAGTTGTTTGTGTCTGTCTGCCTCTCTCTGTGTGTTACAGCAGGATAAGTCCTAGATGTAGAAGACTTTCTGTGTGACTTAATAGTTGAATATGTTGGATATCCCATGGTGTGACTGTTACAGTAGTCATCATGTGTATGGCGCGATTTTGATAATGAGTGTGTTCCGTGTGTGTGTGTGTGTGTGTGTGTGTGTCTGGACTGGGATTTGAATCCTGCGTCACTATCTCATCTGTGTTTCCCCAAGTAGTACCCAAGTGTTTATTTCACTGCCATATGGGATAAGTCAAGTAAAATGTGTGTGTGTGTGTGTGTGTGTTCCAGCAGGAGAAGCCCAAGCTGATAGACCCTCTGGACTATGAGGCTGTGATCTGTGACCTGGGAGAGGAGCTGAAGGAAGACCCCCTCAGAGAGCTGCTCCTCTTCCCCGACAATGACTTCACGGTGGGTACGAGCGTGTCTGTGTGTGTGTTTGAAGGGGGGGGGGGGGGGGGGTGCATATGTGTATGTGTGACTGTGTCTGGCTCATGCCAGCCATACCAATGTTTTACAACAAGACGGAAGGACAGAAAGACACACACACACTCATTTTGCATTCTGAACACCTCATTCCCCCCAGTGCTTCTGCTTCCACCAATGTAAAATAATAATAATATGCCATTTAGCAGACGGTTTTATCCAAAGCGACTTACAGTCATGCGTGCATACATTTTTGTGTATGGGTGGTCCCGGGGATCGAACCCACTACCTTGGCGTTACAAGCGCCGTGCTCTACCAGCTGAGCTACAGAGGACCGCTGTTTGCTCATTAGTGACTTAATTAGCGCGCTAGTGTGACTCCTTAAGACTGCCACTTCATGTTAACTGGTTTTAATTGGTTTTAGGGAAATGACTTGGCCTTCGATCCCTGAGTTGATGTTTAAATGCATGACTCTGCTACTGTGACACACACACACACACACACACAGGCCCGGCAACCTAACAGTCCTGTTTTGTTTGCTGTGTCTCCATAGCTCAACCTAATAGAACTCCAATTCAGTTGCTAATAGACCAACCTAATTCACTTCCAAAACCTAATAAAGTTTTGGAACGTCTTTTGGAACGATTTTAAACAGCTGACTGCAGACACAGTAAATCAGAACCAAGCATTGATCAGAGAGGGCGGGAACTTGGCTGTTCTCAGTGGCTACTTCCCAATTGGCACCCTATTCCCTATATAGTGCACTACTTTTGACTAGAGTCCTATGGGCCCTGGTCAAAAGTAGTGCACTACATAGGGAGCCATTTGGGACACAAGCAGTATTGCTTGTGAGAGCAGTATTTCTCCAACTTTCAATCTTTCCTTCTAGGTATGGATGATTTATTTGAGCCCTTTTATTTGAGCCATTTGCTATTTCTGACCTCAATATTTCTGAATGAATTATGATGGCACCGGAGCGCTTGGTCAGATGTTATTCATCAAGTGCTGACACACTGGAATAGGGCTCAGTGATCTGACTGCACATCGTGGTGGTAAAGACTGTATCCTTAGATTTCATATGTCCCTTCAAGCATTTTCATATTCAGACCTGCACATATATCCTATCCCACTCTGCATATGTCAGCTTTTACCTAATCTCAGTAATCCAAAACCAGATGTCGCGTGAACTTTGGCCTCTGGCCAGCTACTGAATTTGGTTCTAGGGGAAGAGGTTGAGAAGTCAAGTCCACACCCCCTCCACCCAGACAGTCTTTCACAAGAGATTCGCTTTTACCTGACATCAAACTGTCCCTCCCCCTCTGATGGTTCCTCCCCATCTGATTTCTCCTCGCCCCTCTGTCCCCCAGGTGTCCACAGTGCCTCTGGAGAGACGAACACTGCAGTCCACCGTGCCCCAGGGGGCCGAGCTCCAGGCCGAGTGTCTGCTGGTCAGACAGGTGAGTGTGTGTTTTTGTGTGTGTGTGAGAAAGAGAGAGTGCGCCATGCTTAGCTGACTCCACATTAAGTCTGGCAGGCAGGCAGCTTGGCGTGGTGTGGTGGTTGTGCGGGTAAGGGTCTGGACTATATGCTGTTGTTTACATTAAACATATTCTCAACACAGAGGTCAACATCAACATCATGAGCTCATAAGGCAGTGACATAAGGAACACAGATGTGTTTTGTTCCTCCAGGAGCTGTGTGTGTTTCTGTGTGCCAGCGAGTGTGTGTGTGCGTGTGTGCGTGTGAGAGAGTGAAGGAGAGTTTCTCTGGCTAGCTATATGAGTGAAAGTGCAAGCCTTCAGAGAGAGAGAGAGAGAGAAGAAGAAGAAGAGAGAGAGTTCCATAGCTTCCTGGGCCTTGACCCACTTCAGTCCTTATGTACGGAATACATATGAGAAAGTTCCTAACATGTATTCCGTACCCATGCCTTGGAGTTACTGCTCCTCTTCTGAACCAGAGGGAAAGAGAAGTACAGTTGTGCAGCTTGCTGCCGGATCATGTTTCTCTCTGTGGGAATCAACAGCATCTGGAGCGGGGGGGACCCAGCCGTGTTGTTGGAGCTGACTGGACTGCTGCTTCCAATGAGCTCATCTATGGAGCTGAATCATCTGAGGCTGCCTGCGAGGGAGGGAGGGAGGGAGGGAGGGAGGGAGGGAGGGAGGGAGAGAGAGGGAGAGAGAGGGAGAGAGAGAATCCACTGCAGCCGGTTGTTTTGCAGGGGCTCAGCTTAGTTGGGCTGGCTTGCAAAGACACTAAGGGATGTGGTGGGGACTGGGAGGCAGTGAGGTTGCAGCCTAGTGCATGGCCTGCGTCCCAAGTGCCACCCTATTCCCTTTATAGTGCTTGCCCTATTTCCCATTGGGCTCTGGTCAAAAGTAGTGCTCTATATAGGAAATAGGGTGTTATTTGGGATGCACCCTGGGCATGTGTGAGAGCAAGGCTGTGTTTCACGAACATTACTTTATCCATCTAAAGTAGTTGAAAAGTTATGTCTGTGAGTGATATAGACATTTCCCCTCAGTTGACTGTTGTGTTGGATTTGATACAGTGTCTCCTTAGTTATGATAGCTACACAGCCATGACTGCAACCTTTTAAAACATTTGAACCATTTCAGATATTTTTGAGGAACCCTAGAAATGCAAATGATGACGACCAGTTCATTTCCCCTATTGGATGGTCAGTTGAAGAGGTGGATCTGATAAGCCTATACTGTGGCTGTGACCCAAACGGCACCCCATTCCCTTTATAGTGCAATCATTTGGGGTGGTACCCTATGGGCCCTAGTCAAAAGCAGTGCACATTTGGGACACAACCAGACTGCGTGTGCAGGTGTGCCTGTTTTCATGCTCTAATGGTGACAAGTAATGTTTGATGGTGAGGCAGAAGTGAAAGACTTGCAGCACTCTCTGGCTAGGAAGAAGTTATCAAATTAGCCACCCAATGTCTCATTCACATCCTACTGTAGAAGCCTCGCTGCATACGAAAACACACCAGACACAACACCGTCACAGCTTACTGAAGATGGGGTGTGTGTGAGAGTCCATAGAGAGACACAGAGTGAGATAGAGCTGAATGAAAGAGAATGGCTATTTAAGGATGTCCTCCCAGACATGTGTTATTGCCTTGTGGAAGTAAATATGTGTAGAGTGTCTTTAATAATAAATGTGATGATTGCCAGTGGAGCTGTGTTTAAGTGATAGACAATGATACCACCACTCAGACAGAAAGAAGATGAGAATCCACAAAACAACAGAGAAAACATACTGCTGAGAGAAGAGAAAGAGAGGGTGAGAGTGCATGTGTGCGTGAGGGTCTGTGTGTGTGTGTTTACAAGTGAGAGAGAGTGCGCTTGTGCGCAACTGAGCTCGTGTATTCTCTCTGTGAGAGACACAGAGAAGAGAGGGAGAGAAAGTAAGTCTGTAACTCAAGCCCGTGGGACAGAATGTTAATTCAATTCTTCTTATGGTTTGATTACTCTAATCATGGATTCAATCTTGTAAATCTGTAAGCTTGTGGGGCTCTAAGACAACTTGTGTGAAGCAAGCTAGGGCTGCAGAGTCCTCTACAACATTAAGGGTGTGTCCCAAATGGCACCCTTTTCCCTATGGGCCCTGGTCAAAAGTAGTGCACTATGTAGGGAATAGGGTGCAATTTGGGACGTAGGCATCATGTTGTAGAGGGAGGCAGACTCTGCAGCCCTAGCTTGCATCACACTGGGTTGTATGAGGCCTGCTACTCATGTAAAACAAAGCTGTACATTGCCTGTACATTACCATTACTGCACCTTGGATCTACTTATTTCAATGGAGAGAGATTTGTGTGTGTGTGTGTGTGTGAGAGAGACTACTGTCTGATAGACATCTGTAGAGCTGTATAAGAACCACATTGTGACAGAGAGGGGATTTCAAACATCAACTACCCATGCCAAGACACACACAAATCTCTATTTTTGTTGATTGAGGACCTCTTTGCTGAGGAATGTGATTGATTGTTTTTCACGAAAAATATATATTTTTTACATTCTCTTTATATTTTTATTTTCTGGTATGTTTCCTATATGTCATTTGTTGTGTAGTTGTAAGATGCAGGGCTTCCTTGCAAAAGAGACCATGGTCTCAATGGTACTCCCTGTTAAAATGAAGGTAAAATAAATACATTAAATAAAACACACAAACACAGTCATATATACAGACAGAATCAACTGTCTGTTATTCACCTGCACTAGGCATTAACAGAACATCTCTCCCCTCCTCTTCCTCTTCCTCTTTCTCCTCCTCTATTCCAGGCCTGCGAGTACTACAACTCCCAACTACACGTGGTCCATTACAAATATGAGGAGTACGCAGGAGATTACCGGCTACTTCCCAGGTACAGAACAGGCTATGAAAGAGTTGCAAAATTCCGGCAACTTTCCCAGGTTTTCCAGAAATGTTGTGAAAGTTACCAGAATTTTGCAACCCTTGTCTATGATTACACTTATGTACAGAGCAGTGTGTGTACATATTGTCATTATTCTGCATAAGAAAAGTACAGTACTTCGCCACTTCATGTACTTCTAAGTGTTATGAGTATTGAGTTAGTCAGGGCCCACTCCAGGGCTTAACTGTTTTGACATGGCGTCTTTGTCAGGAACGCATGCCAGACTTTCCAAAAGCGTACTTCACATAAACACTAGGGAAGACGCAGCTGAAAACCTCAGCTAGGCCTGAAGATCCATGGACTGTGTTCCTAATGGAAACCTATTCCCTATGTAGTGCACTACTTTTGACCAGAGTTCACTAAATAGGGAATAGGGTCCCATTTGAGATGCAGCCTCAGTGGTCTGCGGTTACATAAAATGCCTCTCGAAAAATAGCTCTCTGTGATGTCAACAATGGGAACAAAAAACAAAATCGTGGACGTCGGTGGGCTGTGTTGTTGTGTGGCAGGCTGTCCAGCTGCGGGGATGTCAGGGCTGTGCATCGGTTACTCAACCCCGGGGAGACCAACCATCAGAGCAGGGCCTCTTTGACCTCTGACCCCTATCCAGACCACTGTAATGTTCTCCATGTCTCCCATGGGTTGGTTATGTTGGAGTCCTCTAGTTCAGTTCACGTGACCTTTCTGAGTTTGTTTAACTTCAAATCAACATCATATACTGTACATCAACTCTAAAACTGATCCATAGTCTACTTTTGATACTGTGTAGTTAACATCAATAGATATCAAGAGACTGAATGTACATGCTTCTATAGAGGTTATATCCACATGATGAGTTTTCTCTCTGAATCAGTTCCTCTGTCTTTCCCTGGACACAGAGTTGGCAGCGGATCTAGGATCAGTTTGGGAGCTACCACTAGCCTTTGTGAGATACCCTGGACACACAGTTAGCAGCAGATCTAGGATCAGTTTGGGCTCCTCATACGATATGTCTGTGATCCAGTTGACAGATTGACAGCCCAGTTCACTCTGAGCTAGTCGTCTTCACAAGCTGTGTCTCTCCAGAGATCACATAGAAGAGCCTCGAAGTCTGGCATGATGCAAGGCTATTCTAACTGAGGTCCAAACACAGGGGTGTCCCTGAAGATTGCCATTATTATTTGTAAGCCTGTTGGAAACACTTTTAAAAAGATGGCATGTATTATTTTTGCTGGGACTAGTTCCAGTGCTGGGTCTGTTATCCTTATAAAAGAGGGAAGCCTTTCTGTCTCCAGCTCAGAGCACACACACAAACACAGGGTGGCTCATGAACGCGCTGGAGCGAGGGCAACCCTTTGTTGTGTCCTTTTCGGGAGGAGATGGAGAGGACTCGGCCACACATAAGTCAGGGCTCAGCTCAGACACCCAGCCATAGATATAGAAAAGAGAGAACACCTATCTTTGCTATGATGATCACTCCAAGGGGCAATCTGCTGTTTACCAAAACTGAACTGAATATTGCCACTTTAACCGATTTTAAAATGGAGAAATCCCTCAATGGCGTTACCCATACTATAATAAGCTTTTTAGCCAGTCTGCCCTCTATCCAACTCAATGCACCCAGCACCTCTACAGTAAAGCTTACCGTATGCTTCCCAGTCAAAAGAGTTCACGCATATATTAGACAACATTTTTGACATTTGTTCATTTTGGTGTTCGGCAGCGTTCAGGTGTTTTTTCCGTCTGTTCGAGCAAATTTTTTTTTTTATTGAGGCTTGTCGAAGTTCGGTAGCCAAAGTTTACGCCCCTTCGTCGGTGATTGGTCAAAAGCAGAGATTCTTCAATGAAGTGTTTGTTGTCATTCAACGACAGACGACTAGTTTTCATACACATTTCACTTGAGAAATACTGCACCAAACATCTTAGTTACATCTGCGCGACCATGACTTCCTCGGCAAAAACGTCAAAATTAATTACAGATTTCTTGACTTATCTTAGATTAATTCTGACTATTTTGAGAAAGTGTACTTGTTGCCTATGGCGTCTCAAGAGGGACAAACAGTAATATTGCTGCTTTTTTCTAGTTTTCACGCAAAGGTATTTTAAGGGAGTATGCAAGCGCAGACGTTCACGTCGCCTAGCTGAGTTTTGCTAGGAGCAAACGGAACCTATGTATGCGTACGCCTTCAGGGGAGTGAGAGAGCCAAAGGTTTCTACAGTGGGGAGAACAAGTATTTGATACACTGCCGATTTTGCAGGTTTTCCTACTTACAAAGCATGTAGAGGTCTGTAATTCTGGGGAGGATGGATGGGGCCATGTATCGCGAGATCTTGGCCAACAACCTCCTTCCCTCAGTAAGAGCATAGGTACACTTCAACTGTGAGAGACGGAATCTAAAACAAAAATCCAGAAAATCACATTGTATGATTTTTAAGTAATTAATTTGCATTTTATTGCATGACATAAGTATTTGATCACCTACCAACCAGTAAGAATAATGGCTCTCACAGACCTGTTAGTTTTTCTTTAAGAAGCCCTCCTGTTCTCCACTCATTACCTATATTAACTGCACCTGTTTGAACTCGTTACCTGTATAAAAGACACCTGTCCACACATTCAATCAAACAGACTCCAACCTCTCCACAATGGCCAAGACCCGAGAGCTGTGTAAGGACATCAGGGATAAAATTGTAGACCTGCACAAGGCTGGGATGGGCTACAGGACAATAGGCAAGCAGCTTGGTGAGAAGGCAACAACTGTTGGCGCAATTATTAGAAAATGGAAGAAGTTCAAGATGACGGTCAATCACCCTCGGTCTGGGGCTCCATGCAAGATCTCACCTCGTGGGGCATCAATGATCATGAGGAAGGTGAGGGATCAGCCCAGAACTACACGGCAGGACCTGATCAATGACCTGAAGAGAGCTGGGACCACAGTCTCAAAGAAAACCATTAGTAACACACTACGCTGTCATGGATTAAAATCCTGCAGCGCACGCAAGGTCCCCCTGCTCAAGCCAGCGCATGTCCAGGCCCGTCTGAAGTTTGCCAATGACCATCTGGATGATCCAGAGGAGGAATGGGAGAAGGTCATGTGGTCTGATGAGCTAAAAATAGAGCTTTTTGGTCTCAACTCCACTCACCGTGTTTGGAGGAAGAAGAAGGATGAGTACAACCCCAAGAACACCATCCCAACCATGAAGCATGGAGGTGGAAACATCATTCTTTGGGGATGCTTTTCTGAAAAGGGGACAGGACGACTGCACCGTATTGAGGGGAGGATGGATGGGGCCATGTATCGCGAGATCTTGGCAAACAACCTCCTTCCCTCAGTAAGAGCATTGAAGATGGGTCGTGGCTGGGTCTTCCAGCATGACAACGACCCGAAACACACAGCCAGGGCAACTAAGGAGTGGCTCCGTAAGAAGCATCTCAAGGTCCTGGAGAAGCCTAGCCAGTCTCCAGACCTGAACCCAATAGAAAATCTTTGGAGGGAGCTGAAAGTCTGTATTGCCCAGCGACAGCCCCGAAACCTGAAGGATCTGGAGAAGGTCTGTATGGAGGAGTGGGCCAAAATCCCTGCTGCAGTGTGTGCAAACCTGGTCAAGACCTACAGGAAACGTATCTCTGTAACTGCAAACAAAGGTTTCTGTACCAAATATTAAGTTCTGCTTTTCTGATGTATCAAATACTTATGGCATGCAATAAAATGCAAATTAATTACTTAAAAATCATACAATGTGATTTTCTTGATTTTTGTTTTAGATTCCGCCTCTCACAGTTGAAGTGTACCTATGATAAAAATTACAGACCTCTACATGCTTTGTAAGTAGGAAAACCTGCAAAATCGGCAGTGTATCAAATACTTGTTCTCCCCACTGTATCTCTGTCTTGTAATCGTGAGTTAGTACCTAGGCGATCTTATAACTTATACACAGAGCCAGGAGTTTTTCCTGACAATGTGACCTGGTCAGAAAAAACTCTGGGCTCGAGTTAGCCCATGCCTGTGTAGTTAAACAGGCCCTACTACTACTACAATATACTGCTGGACTGTTATGTTGCTATCACAATACAGGTATCAACAGTAGAGTTGAGGTTGAATGTCATTACGGAAGTCTAGTACATCTACGATATGATGATAGGGGACATAGAGAGAGGACATCCTCCTTGTCTGCATCCCATATGGCACCCTATTCCCTGCCTGCATAGTGCTCTACTTTTGACCAGAGCCCTATGAGCCCTGTTCAAAAGTAGTGCACTATGTAGTAGGTAATAGGGTGCCATTTGGGACGCAGCCCTTCTCTCTTTCTGCCTGGAGGCTTTTAAGTGTAGTCTTCTCCCCTCTTGACATCCCTAATGGAAGACCCCCCCCCCCCCCCCCCCCCCGACTGTCTGTGAGGAGGAGAGAAGGAGGGGAGCGGAAGGGAGAGGGAGGGAGAGAGAAGTGGGGAAGGCAGAATGAGGTGAGTAGAAGAGAAGAGGGTGGGGAGCAGAGCATGTGAGCGGAGTTGAGCGGGACGGTGCTTGTGCACCGCTCCGGCGCTCCATGTCCTTTCCAACAGCTCCGCTACAAACCGCTCAGCGCTCACAGGAAAAAAAAGCTGACGCTCCAAATTCGCTCCATTCATTAAAATCACAATTTAACACCAATCTATTTTTGTGATTACCTGGACCTACCATTTGGTTTTTAAGTATTGAAACCAAACCATATGGATTTGAATTAAAAGTATTTGAATGAACATGAAAAGGTGAATGTAAGAAGCGCACATAATTTCAAATAGTCTACATGTCATATTAAACAGCATATACAGTGCATTCGGAAAGTATTCAGACCCCTTCCCCCTTCCCTTTTTCCACATTTTGTTACGTTACAGCCTTATTCTAAAATGGATTACATATTTTTTTCCCCCTCATCAATCTACACACAATACCCTATAATGACAAAGCGAAAACAGGTTTTTGGAAATATTTGCGAATTTATTAAAAATAGAAAACAGATTTACATAAGTATTCAGACCCTTTGCTATGAGACGAAATTGAGCTCAGGTGCATCCTGTTTACATTGATCATCCTTGAGATGTTTCTACAACTTG